AAATTCCACCTGGAGTCCCTCAAAACCACACTAAATCCCAAAAAATCCGCGTTTTATCCCTAAAATTCCACACAGAATTCCTCAAAATCCACCTGAAATGCTCTGAAATTCCCATGGAATTCCCAAAATCCCACCCAGAATTTCCCCAAATCCAAACTGAATCCCAGAAAATCCACCTGGAACTCCCCAAAATCCTTCAAATCCATCCCCAAATCCAATAAAAATTTTGTGGGAATTTGGGGAAAATTTTGTGGGAATTTTGCAGCATTCTGATTGAATTTTAGGGAACTTGGGGACAATTTGTGAGGAATTTTGCAGGAATTCTGGGGTAATTTAGGGACAATTTGAGGAAAAATTTGCTGGAATTTCTGTGGAATTTTGTGGGAATTTTGATTGGAATTCGGGATAAAATTCCCAAACCACCCCAGGCACCAATCCCAAAATCCCTAAAACCCCAGGATTTGGCGCACCTCGATGATCTCCTCAACCCCATTCTTGGATTTGGGGCATTCCGAGGCCAAAATTAGGGAATTCCTGGTTCTTTTTGTGGGAATTTTAAGGGAACTTTAAGGGAACTTTGTGGGGAATTTTTAGGTGGGAATTTTAGGGGAATTTTGCAGGAATTTGGGGCCATTTTTGCTGGACTTTTTTTTTTAATTTTTGATGGGAATTTTACCACCCCCTTTCTCCCCTAGGAACGATCCCAAATGCCAAAAAAATCCCGGGATTTGGGGCACCTTGATGATCTCCTCGTCGCCGTCCTTGGATTTGACACACTCCGAGGCCAAGGAATTCCCGTCGGATCTCTTGGCCACCATGGCGAAGGCTCTGCCCACGGGCTTTGGGGGAAAACGCGGCGATTTCGGGAAAAAATTCCCGGGAAAAGCCCGGAATTGGGATTTGCCCCACTAAGGGTGGGAATTGTCCCAAAAACCCCGGCTTTGGAGGGAAAAATCCAGGATTTTCATGGAAAAATCCAGGATTTCCAGCTGTTTCCTGCTGCGGATACATCTGGGAAAACCACGATCCCATTCCCCGTCCCAAAATGATCCTAAAAATCCTGGATTTTACCACAAAATCCAAGCCTTCCCCCACAAAATCCTGAATTTTCATCCCCAAAATCCCAGAATTATCCCAAAATTCCTATTTTCCTCCCCCAAATTCATGGTTTTACCACCGCAAACTGCCAAATTTCTCCCCAAGACACACAATTTTCCCCCAAAATTCCCAGAATTTCCCCCCAAATTCCCACAAAAATCAAAAATTTCACTTCTTCTCCCCCAAATACTGAATTTTCACCACAACTCCCCCCAAAATTCCAAGAATTATCCCAAATCCCCCACAATTTCCCAAAAAATTTCCCATTTTCCTCCCCAAAATTCCCATTTTCCCCCCCCAAATTCCCAAACTTTCCCCCAAACTCTCAAGTTTCCCTCATAAAATTCCCATTTTTCCCTGAAATTCCCAGAATTCCCCCCTGGTATTCCCAAATTTCCCCCCCAGTCCCGCTCTTTCCGCACCTTCTGTTTGGGCCGGGGCTCCCTGGGGGGGTCTCGGGGCAGGCGCAGCCTCAGCACCGGCCCAGCCTCCTAAGGGTTAAACCCAGCTTAAAATCGGGACTAAAAATCGGCATTTTGGGCAAAGCCAAGGAAAGGATAAATTGGGAAGAAATCCAGGAAAAATCCAGGATAAATCCAGAATAAACCCAGGAAAAATCCAGGATAAATCCGTAAAGAATCCAAGATAAACTGGGAAGAAATCCAGGAAAAATCCGGGATAAATCCAGGAAAAATCTGGGATAAATCCCAGCCTTCCCAGATTTCTCTGCTGGGATCGGGAAGGAAAAGCGACTCCGGATCCAGATTTTTGTGGGGGGGATGTTTTCCAAAAATTCCAGGACTCACCTCCGCTGTCCAGGAAGATTTGGGGACCCCTCCAGAATTTTCCAGGGATCCAGGGGAGTTTTCAGGGCTGGGAAATTCTGGGAATTCTGTGGGACGCCTCATGCTCAGCTCCTGCTGGGAAAAACCTGCCCTGAACCAGAAAATTCCCAAAATTCCCAAATGTTCATTCCCAAGGAGTTTTCCCACCCGACCCCTGGGGGATTTTTTTTGGAGGAATTCACTAGGAATGGGAATTTGGGGGATCTCAGAAATCCTGGATGGGGGAATCCCAAAAAATTCCAGGAGTGGGGATCCCAAAAAAACCCCGGGAATTTTGGGAATTCCAAACCGCTCCTTCAAAGGCTGGGAATGAGGAATTTCACTCTGGAAAACCGGGAAAGTTTGGAATCCGGGAAAAATCCCGGAGTTCTCCAAATCCATTAAAAACCCTGGGATCGTTGGGATTTGAGACACAAAATTCCCAAATTTCCCGGGATTTGGGGCGGGGTTGGATTTTTGGGAATGTACCAGCCCCGCCCCAAGGCCCGGCTGATAAAAGCGGGAAAAAAAAAAAAAAAAAACCAAAACAACAACAGGGAAAACTCCTCAAATCCCGGCTGGAAAATTCTGGGATGGCCCCGCCCCCTGGGGTTCGGAATTCCCAAAAAATTGGGACTTTGGGAGTGGATTTTGGGGAGAGATTCCCGGGAATTCCATGGGAAAATGGAGCCGGGAAGATCCCGAAAACCCCGGGATGGGTTTGGGGCTGGAACGTGGGGAAAAGGGATTTGGGATCGCCCAAAAATCATCCCGGGAATTCCGGGAATGAGGAAAAGGAGGGAGCCGGGAATTGTGGGGAGGGGTCCCGGGGTTTTTAGAGAGGGGATCCCGAGGGAATTCTGGGAAGGACTGGGGTATTTTGGGAAGGATTTGGGAATTTTGGGAGGGTCCCGGAAATTCCAAGGAGGTTTGGGATCCCCCAAAAGTCGTTCCAAGAGGGGGGAAAAATCCCAGGAATTCCGGGAATTGCCGGAATGAGGAAAAGGTGGGAGCCGGGGATTTTGGGGAGGGGTCCCGAGGATTTCAGAGAAGGAATTCGAGAATTTTGGGAAGGATTTGGGAATTTTGGGAAGAAGTCCCGGGAATTCTAAAGGGATTTGGGATCCCCGAACTCCTCCCAGGAGGGCGGGAAGAGCCCGAGAGTTCCGGGAGTGGGGAAAGGAGAGGCCCCGCAATTTTGGGAAGGGGATCCAGGAATTCCGGGAAAGGATCCCGAGATGTTTAGGGAAGAGATAGAGGAATTTTGGGAAGGATTCGGGAATTTGGGGCGGGATGCCAGGAGTTCCAAAGGGATCGCGAAAGGGGGGAAAAAAATCCCGGCAGTTCCGGGAAGAGCCAGAGGAAAGGAATTTTCCCGGGGACTTTTTGCGGAAGATCCGGGAATTTTTTGGGAATGCCGCGGGATTTTTTGCGGGGGAGGAAGTTTTTGGGCAGGATTTGGGAATTCGGGGGAGGGGCCCGGGGGGTTCTTACCGGGGATTGCGGGAGCGCGGCCCAGCCCGGGAGCCCGTTCATGGCCCCGCCGCCACTTCCGCCTCACCTGAGCCAGGTGGCCACGCCCCGCGGCCACGCCCACGCCGGCCACGCCCACGCCGGCCACGCCTCCGTGTTTGGGGATTGTTGGCGGGGTTTGGCCACGCCCCCGCCTGGGTCATGCCCATGTTTGGTCATGGCTAAATATGGTAATGAGGAGATGTGGGCACGCCCACAAGGTGAAGACCACGCCCACAAGAGGGAAAGGGGGGGAAGGGGAAAATTGGGGAAAAATGAGAGAAAAATGGGGAAAAAGGGGGAGAATTGGGAAAAGAGGAGGAGAATTGGGGAAAAGGGGGGAGAATTGGGAAAAAAGGAGGAGAATGGGGGAAAAAGGAGGAGAATTGGGAAAAAAAGGAGGAGAATTGGGGGAAAAAGGAGGAGAATTGGGAAAAAAAGGAGGAGAATTGTGGGGAAAAAGGGGGAGAATTGGGAAAAAAGGGGGAGAATTGGGAAAAAAGGAAAAGAATTGGGGGGGAAAAAGGGGGAGAATTGGGAAAAAAAGGGGGGAAAGCTATTGGGAAAGTTGGGGTAAAACTGCGATAAAAGTGGGCAAAAAATGGGGCAAATTGGGCTAAAACCGGGGGGAAACTGGGGCAAAGCCGTGCCCAAGGTGACCCGGGCCGTGCCAGTGTCACAGCCGGGTGTGCCCAAGCCGTGCCAATGCCACACCCGCGTGGCCCCGGCCGTGCCAAGCCCCGCTCTGGCCGTGCCAAGCCCTGCCCGGGCGTGTCCCCAGAGCCGTGCCAGAGCCGTGCCAGGCGCTGCCCCCGGTGGCACCACGCTGTCCCCAGCCCGCCCGGGGCTGGCACTGCCCGGGCGCGTCCTTGGGGACACCTTGGGGACATCCCCGGGGGCGGTGGCACCGCGGCATCGCAGGCAACCCCGGGGGATTTCAGGGAATTTGGGGGGATTTCGAGGAATTTGAGGGAATTGCAGAGAACTGCGGGGATTGGGAGCTCCCGGGAATTTCAGGGATTGGGAATTCCGGGCGCGCTGTCCCCGGGATGTCCCCAAGTCTCGGGGAAACTGAGGCACGGGGGGGGTGGGGACAGCGCGGGACCGGTCGGGCCGGTCCGGGGGCACCTCCGAGGGCACCGGGCGCGGCCCTTCCGGGGTGGGGACACCCGGGGACAGCGGTGGCAGTGGTGGCACCTGCGGGGGCACCGGGCGGTGGCACCTTCCTGAGCGGTGACCTCACGGTGACCGCAGGGGACTGCGGTGGCTCCAGTGCCACCTGCTGGGGACACCCCGCTGCCACCTGTGTCACCACCGGCCACGGCCCTGCCGGGGTGGTGGCACAGGGACACCCGGGGACACCAGGGGACAGAGGTGGCACCAGAGAAATCCCACCCGGAATTCCCAAATCCCACCGAGAATTACTGAGAATTCCCAAGAATTCCCACCCAGAATTCCCAAAAATTCCCAATCATTTCCCACCCACAATTCCTGAAAAATTCCTGAACATTCCCACCTAGAATTCCCACCCAGAATTCCAAAAAAAATTCCAGACCCTGCTGCCCTTAAACCGCAGGATTTTATTCCAAACATTTTTGGGAGCAGGTGTGGGAATAAAAATTCCTGGAACTGGGAAACCCCGAGATTCCCCCGAAGTGTCCTCAGGAGCTGGGAAATCCCTGGAAATCCCTGGATTCCCACAGGGTCCCGGCTGATTTTCCTTCATATCCTCGCTTTGGGAATTTTTCCTATGGAGCAGCAGCAGCCCGGGGCTGATCCCAGCTGGAATTCTGAGACTGATCCCGGCTGGAATTCCGGGACTGATCCCAGCTGGAATTCCAGGGCTGATCCCAGCTGGAATTCCAGGGCTGATCCCAGCTGGAATTCTGGGCCTGATCCCGGCTGGAATTCTGGGACTGATCCCGGCTGGAATTCTGGGACTGATCCCAGCTGGAATTCCGGGGCCGATCCCAGAGCCGATCCTGGGGCTGATCCCAGACTCAATCCCAGCTCCAGAATTCCCAGGAATCTGCGGGAGGGGGCTGATCCCAGGGATGGCCCTGGAACCAGTCCCAGGTTGGGACCAATCCTGGAACCGATCCTGGGACCGATCCCACTGATGATGATGGCAGCACTCCCGGCGTTCCTGGCATTCCCGGCATTCCTAGCATTCCCGGCGTTCCTGGCATTCCCGGCGTTCCTGGCATTCCCGGCGTTCCTGGCACTCCCGGCGTTCCTGGCTCAGCAGGAGCTGGCCTGCAGGTTGGCCTCGCTCAGGAGGGAGGCGATGGCCGCGGATCCGAACTCCTCATCCGAGCTCAGCCGCTCGTCCACGGCGCGGCGCCTGCCGGGGCAAATCCCCTTCTCCATGGAATTCCCGGCCCCTTCCATGGAATTCCCGGCCTTTTCCATGGAATTCCCAGCCTCTTCCAAACCAGAATTCCCTTACCAGGCCTCCTTTGCCATGGATTTAGATCATTTCCCATGAATTTACAACCTCTTCCTTGGAATTTGGGGTTTTCCCATGGGCTTGGGACCTTTCCACGGGCTTAGGAGCCTTTCCCACAGATTCTGGAATTTTCCACCTGGGAATTCCTTACCAGGCCTCCTTTTCCATGGATTTCAGGCGCCGCTGGAGCTGCTCGTTGAGCTCCTGCTGCTCCTCCAGCTCCCGCTGGGATTTTTTCCGGGCGTTTTCCAAGCGCTCGATTTCCTCCTCGGATTCGTCCACCTGGCGCTTCAGGGCCTTTACCCGCAGGCTCAGCTGGGAATTTCCGGGATTTGGGGTTGGATTTGGGATTTGGGAATTTTGGGAGAATCCTGGGGTGCAGGGATTGGCCCTGGCCTCGGAATTTTAAGGATTTTAAAGGATTTTTAAGGAATTTTAAAGGATTTTTTAAGGATTTTAAAGGATTTTTGGGCTTTTTTTCTATCCCAAATCATGCCAGGAATTCCTTGGATGGGATTTTAGGGATTTTCAGGATCCAAGCTCCGGTTTTTCCATGGATTCCCCATCCCTGAGATGGTGGGAATGTCCCTGGCCTGGGATTTTTAAGGAATTTTTAAGGATCTTTGGGATCTTTCCCCCCAAAACATTTCAGGATTCCCTGCCCTGGCTCAGGTGGGATTTTCGGGACAAATCCTGGATCCTATCCCAGATTTTTCCATGGAATTCCAGGAACTCCAGCCCCACCTGGTCCCTGTGGTTGCTGCTGCTCTGCCGCTCCTCATCCAGCTGCAGCGACAATTCCTTGATTTTCCTCTCCAGCTTCCGGTTGGACGAGAGCAGGACGCTCTTCTCCCTGTGGAAAAACGGGAATTCCGTGGATTCCCCGCCCTCTGGAGCTGCCTAGCAGTGGGATTTGGATGGATCTTTATGGAATTTCAAGGATGTTAAAGGGATTCTTAAGGAATTTTTAAGCAATTTGCAGGAATTGTTAAGGAATTTTCAAGGAATTTTTTAGGGATTTTTAAGGGATTTGGAAAAATTTGGGAATTGGGATTTGAGATTTAGGAGTTGGGAAGTGGGATTTGGGGTTGGAAAAATTTGGGATTTTGGAATTTGGGATTTGGGGTCGGGCACCTCTCCTCGGCCTGGAGCTGCTCCCGGAGCTCTTCCAGCTGCGATTCCAGCTGGGAATTCCGGCTGTTCCCGGGTCGCTGCTGCCCCTCAGAAGCGGCCAGCCGGTTCTTCAGCTCCTTGTTCTGGGAAAAATTCCCAAAAATCCCCTTGATTCCGGGGCTCTTCCCGGTTTTGCCAAGTTTCCCAATGGGGAGGAATTCCAGGAATGCTTTGCAGGATTCCAGGAGTTGGGAAAGAGGGGAAAAGTGGGAATTCTGGGACTTGTCTGCAGGGAAAAGTGAGAATTCTGCACAGGAAAAGTGGGAATTCTGTTGGAATTCTGCAGGGAAAGTGGGAATTCTGTGGGAAAAATACCCTGGGAGAGGGCAGAGAACCCCAGAAGCTGGGACTGGGAATAAAACCAGGAAAAGGTGGGAAAAAAACAGAAAAAAAGCAGAAAAAAGTAGGGGAAAAGCAGGAAAAAATGGGGAAAACTCCTTGGAATCATGACCCCAGTCCCAAGGATTCTTTTCCCAGAATTCCTCATGAAATCTGGGCTCCCCCTGGGCCACTCCCACCAGGATTCGAGGCTGGATCCAGGGATTTTCTCGGGATTTTTCCTGAGTTTTTCCCAGGATTTTTCCAGGATTTTCCCGGGATTTTTCCAGGATTTTCCTGGGATTTTTCCAGGACCTTCCCGGGAATTTTTCCATGATTTTCCAGGGATTTCCCGCACCTGGCGCTCCAGGGAGGATTTGTCACATTCCAGGTCCTGGCGGCTCGAACGTTCCTGGAGCAGCTCTGCCCGCAGCTGCTCGATCTGGGAATAAAAATGGAAAAATCCAGGAATTTCCAGGAATTTCCGGGATGTTCCATGGATTTCCATGGATTTTTCCACGGATTTTCCCATGGATTTCAGGAATGGGGTTGGGAGATGTACTGGGATTCTCTGGGAATTGTGGGAAAAGGATCCCTGGGACTATTCCCAGTGGAAAAAATTCCCATTTTATGCCCCATTTATGCCTTGGAATTTTGGGGGAAAAAGGAGGGAATAAAGTTTGGGAAAGGCCCAGAATCCATTGGGATTGAACTCCCAAATTCCCACCCAAATATCAAAAATAGGGAATTTTTTTGGGAATTCTTTATTCCTTTTCCCAACCTCTTCCAATCCCCACTCCCACCCCAACTGACAATTCCCGGTTGGAATTTTCAGATGGATCCTTGGGGGGCAGGGGTTGGAATTCCGGGAGAATTCCATTTTTGCCAAGATGAGAATTCCCAAAATTCCCAGGATTTTACCTGATCCCGGCTCCGGGTCACCCTCTCGCTCAGCAGCTCCACCGAGCTCCGCTCCTCATCCAGCTCCAATTCCAAACGTTTGGATTTTTCCTGATGGGAATTTGGGATGGAATTTTCAGGGAATTTTGAGGGGAACTTTGAAAAATTTTGGGGGGAATTTTCTGGGAATTCTTTAAGAATTTTCCATTATTTTGGGGGTGGAATTTTCTGGGAGCAATATGGGAATTTTTTTTCCATTTCTTGGAGAATTTTCTGGGATTTTTTTTTAGGAATCCTCACCTCCAGCGCCTTGGAATGCCGGGCTCGCTCTTCCTGGGATCGCTTCCGATTTTCCAGCTCCTGCTCCAGCTCCTGGAGCCTCTGGAGCAGCAGCTCCTTGTCCAGCAGGATCCGATCCTGCTCTTCCCGGTTTTCCTGGATCGTCTCCTTCAGCCGGGAAACCTGCCAGGAAAACGACAAATTTCCCCAAATTCCCAGATGGATTTTCCCCAAAAATCTGCAGAATTCCTGGAAAAATCAGCTCTGATTCCCAACAAACCTCGTCCTGGAGCTTCCCGAGGTTCTGTTGGAATTTTTCCGCCTCGGCCTCGCGGTCTTGGGCGATTTTTTGGGAATCCGTGAGTTCCCGGCGGGATTTTTCCTGGAATTCTTCCAGCTGGGATCGGAGCGAGGCCAGGGAGCTCTGGGATTCTGCCGTCATCTGCTCCAGCTGAAAAATGGGAATTTCGGGATCTGGAATTTTGTGGGATGGTGCCAAAAATGGGATCTGGGGTGGAAATTCAGGGGGGTGGAAATCCCAGAATTCCATGAAAAAAGCTGAAAATTCCGTGGAAAAAACTCAGAATTCAATGAAAAAAAATCAGCATTCCATGAGAAACCCAAGAATTCCATGAAAAAGAAACAAGAATTCTGTGAAAAAACACCAGAATTCAGTGGGAAAATCCAGGGATTTTCAGGAAAAACCCCTGGAATCTCATCCCAAACCTCTCAGAGGTCCCAGTCCCACAAGACGAAAATTTTGGGATGAGAAAATGCCAGAATTCCAGGAAAAAAAAAAACAAATTCCGCCCAAAAACTTCCTCAAATTCCACAAGACCCCAGAACTCCATTTAAAAAAACCCAAAAAAATTCCATTAAATACCCAAAAAAATTTTTGGAAAAAAACCCCAAAACTCCATGAAAAAGTCTGTAATTCCATGGAAAACACCCAAAATTCCCCCACAAAGAACCCACTCCAAAATGCCACACAAAAACCTCTGAAATTCAACGGAAAACCCCAAAAATTCCGTGAAAATCCCTGGAATCTTTGCCCATACCTCCTGGCTGAGCCGCTCGCGCCGGCGCCGCTCCTCGCCCAGCGCCGATCCCAAATCCCGCAGCTCCCGTTGGGATCGCTCCAGGCGCGACTCCAGCGCCCGCTCCCGCTCCGCGCCCGATCCCAGAGACTCGGCCAGGGCCGCGCGCTCCGCCTGCCCGAGAGATTTGGGATCAGTGGGGCTCTGGGATTTGGGATCAGCGGGGCTCTGGGATTTGGGATCAGCGGGACTCTGGGATTTGGGATCAGCGGGACTCTGGGATTTGGGATCAGCGGGGCTCTTNGGGGTGGTGGGTTTTTTGGGGGGGGGGGGGGGGGGGGGGGGGGGGGGTTTGTTGCTTTTTGGGGGATTTTTCTTTGGATTTTTGAGAATTCCCAGCCCCTCCAGTTTGGATTTCTGGCAATTCCCACTACCTCCAATTTGGCCACTTTCTCCCGGAGCTGTTCCCAGTTCTCCTGCTGTTCCTTGGACTCCTCCAGCTGCGATTCCAGAACTTTCCGTGCCTCCTCCGACGCCTCCAGCGCAGATTCCAGGGAAATCTGGGCCTTGGGGGATCCAGAGGAGATTTTGGGGCATTTTGAGGAATTTTAGGGAAATTTTTGATGGTTTTGGGGGGATTTTGTGGGAATTCTTTTTTGGCACAATTTTGGCTGAGCCCACAATGAGCAAAGCTGGGACCTCAAATTCCAAAAATTTCCCAAAAATTTCCAAAAATGTTCCAAATTCCTGGGATTTCCCCTCCTTACCTGAGCAGCCTCATCTCGCTCTCTCTGGAGCTTTTCCAGATCCTTCCGGGCCTGCTCCAGCTCCTGGGAAGAATCCCAAATTTTTGGGGAAAAAAAAAAATAGATTTTTGGGTAAAAATCCCAAATCTTTGGGGGGGGGGGAATCCCAAATTTTGTCAAAAAGAAATTCCCAAATTTGGGGGGGGGAAATCCTGAATTTTGGGGAAAAGATCCCAAATTTTGGGGTAAAATTTCACGGATTTCTCGCACCTTCCGGAGCTTTTCCAGCTCCTGGGGGTCGGTCCGGGCTCGATCCCGATCCTCCCGCGCCGCCTGGAGCCGCTCCCGGAGCTCCCGGAGCTCCTCCTCCAACTCCTCCCGCTCCAGCCGCGCCTGCAGCAGCCTGGAAAATCCCAGAAATTCCCAAAATTCACCAAATCCCCTCCGTCCCAAAATCCCCGACCCTCTTTTGTTGGGAGGTGGGAGTGGAAAATCCTGGAAAATCTCAGAAAATCCTGGAAAGTCTCAGAAAATCCCAAATTTTGGATCTCCCCAAGGCTGCGGGACTCACTCCTGCTTGGAATTCCGCAGCTCTTCCTTGTTTTTCTGGAACATTTCCCGCCACTGCTCCGTCTCCTCCGCGCTCTCCTCCAGCTCCCGACGCAGGTTCCGCAGCTGCATTCCCAAATTTTCCCGCTCCTGCTCCAGGCTGGATTTCTCCTGCAAGGAATTGACAAGATTCCCAAAAAAAAAAAAAATTCCTGGGGAATTCGAGACAAAATTCCTCGGAATTGGCGTGGAGTCCATGGAAATTCCAGAGGTTTTTTTTCCCAATTTCCCCCCCCATTCCAGAGGGATTTTTCCCAATTTTCCCCCCATTCCAGAGGGATTTTTCCCAATTTTCCCCCCATTCCAGAGGGTTTTTTCCCAATTTTCCCCCCCATTCCAGAGGGATTTTTCATAATTTCCCCCCCATTCCAGAGGGATTTTTCCCAATTTTTCCCATGTTCCACTGGGGTTTTTTCTCACGGCTTTCTCCCCCATTCCAGAGGCTTGGAATATGGGGGGAAAAGCCTGGAATTCCCAGTGCTGTCCCCAATTCCCATCCCAATTCCCACCTCCGCCACCCGCTCCGTCTCCCCCCGGATCGTCTCCATCTCCCCCCGGAGCCGCTCCAGGTCGGAATCGTGCGCGGCCACCTCGGCCTTCAGGGCCCCCTTGAGCGCCTGCAGCTCCCGCTCCTGGCGCCGCCGCGACCCCAAAACCTCCTGCAGCTGCTCCCGGCACTCCTGCAGCTCCTGGGAACGGGAAAAACGGGATTTGGGATGTGGAAAAAACCCGGAACCTCCTGGGAATGGGAAAAAACGGGATTTGGGATGTAGAAAAAACCCTCAAAAGCTCCTGGGAATGGGAAATTCGGGATTTGGGGATGGAAAAACCCCAAAACCTCCTGGCACTGGAAAAATCGGGATTTGGGATGTGGAAAAACCCTCAAAACCTCCTGGGAACGGGAAATTTGGGATTTGGGATGTGGAAAAACCCTCAAAAGCTCCTGGAGCTGCTCCCGGCATTCCTGCTGCTCCTGGGAATGGGAGAAGTTAGGAAAGTGGAAAAACTGGGATTTGGGATGTGGTTGTGACCCCAAAACCTCTCCCAGCTGCTGCCAGCATTCCCACAGATGCTGGGAATGGGAAAATTGGGATTTGGGGGTGGCAAAAAATCCCAAAGCCTCCTGGAGTCTTACCAGGATTCCAGGAGTTCCCAGGAAGGGCAGATTTGGGGTTTTGGGTTTTATTTTTTGTGTGTGGTTTTCATTGGCATTTTTCTCCTTTTGAGGCTTTTAGGGCTTTTTTTGTGGGGTTTTTTTTTTGTTTGTTTTCCCCATTTTGGGGGTTTTTAGGGGTACCTGGTAGAGGCCCTCTGTGTCGGGGTCACTTTTGGGGTCGTTTTTGGGGTCGGTGGCCAGCAGCTGCCCCTCGAGGTGGCCCAGCCGCGCCTCCAGCGCCTCCTTGGCGGCTCTCAGCTCGCTCAGCCTGGGCAACGAAGGGTTAATGGGGGAAATCGGGGTCTATTGGGGCTTTCTGGGGGGAAATCAGGGGTTCCTGGGGTCTTTTGGGGGTCCGGAGGGGATTTGGGGGGTTTTAGGTGGAATTAGGGGAGGTTTGGGGGTCTGGGGGGGGATGAAGGGAGGTCTAGAGGGTCTTGAAAGGGTCTTTGGGCCCCAAACCCCAAAAGGGACAAAGGGGGACCCACAGTGACCTCAGACCCCAAAGGGCCACCCCAAACCTGCCCCAAACACTTTAGGGGACCCCAAATCCCTGGGAGGGACCCCAAACCCCAAAGGGCCACCCCAAACCCCTGGAGGGGACCCCAAACCCCTGAGGGACAATGGGGGTGACCCCAAACCCCAAAGGGACAGCGGGGGTGACCCCAAACCCCTCCCCCCCATCAGTGACCCCATTACTGGGCCTGGCTCCGCTGCAGCTCCTGGGATTTCCTGTCCAGGGCCTCCCGCAGGATTTGGGACTGGGGCGAGTCCGGAGCCCCCACGGAACTCTGGGACATTCAGGGACATTTGGGATGTTAGGGACGTCGTGGCCTAAAATCCCAAATCCCAAACCCATCCCAAATCCCTCCCAAATCCCAAACCCATCCCAAATCCCAAACCCATCCCAAATCCATCCCAAACCCATCCCAAATCCCTCCCAAATCCCAAACCCATCCCAAATCCCAAATCCATCCCAAATCCATCCCAAACCCATCCCAAATCCCAAACCCATTCCACATCCATTCCAAATCCCTCCCAAATCCCAAATCCCAAACCCATCCTAAATCCCAAATCCATCCCAAACCCCAAACCCATCCCAAATCCCAAATCCATCCCAAACCCATCCCAAATCCATCCCAAACTCCAAACCCCTGGAATTTTCCCACTCACCGCCAGCTCCTGGAATTTCCCCAGCAGCCTCGAGGTTTTCCTTTTCAGGGAAATTTCGCTCTCGGAGCTCCTGGATTTGGGAGAAAAAATGAATTGGGGTCATGGAAAAAGGGAAGGGCAGGAATTGCTGCTGGATTCCCCCAAATTCTGAATTTGGGGAAAATATTTGGGAATTGGGGTAATGCAGTGGGAATTTGAGGGCGGTTTTGGGGGAATTTGGGGAATTTTAGAGAGGTTTGGGGGAAATTTGGGGGGATTTGGGAGAATTTTGGGGCTGTTTTGGGGGAATTTTGGGGTTCTGGGGGCTCACCCCTCCTTTAGGATGCTGTAGATGAGCTCAGTGGGGTTTTCACAGCCCCCCAATTCCCGCTGATCCCGCAGCAGGTCCGGGGTGGATTTCAGCTTCCAGGAGGGAACAAAAACCCTCAATTCCAACAAAACCCCAAATCCCGCATTCCAGACGGGGAAAAAACCCAAATTTTATAGGGAAAAACATTATTTTATAGGGGAAAAGCACCATTTCATAGGAAAATAATCTGAATTTAATGGGGAAAAACCCCAATTTTATAGGTAAAAACCCCCAATTCCATGGGAACCCCCCCCCAAATGTAATGGGAAAAGTCCTTAAATTTTATAGGAAAAACCCCAATTTTTTTAGGCAAAACCCCAATTTTCATGTAAAACCCCCATTTTTAGGAAAGAAAAAAAAATTATTTTTTTTTTAGGAATTTCCCCCCCCAAATACCTGCATCTCCACGCTCTGCTCCTCCACGCCCCCAAAGCCGCGGGGGATTTGGGGGATTTGGGGCGGGATGGCGGCGGATTCCCGGGAATTCCGCGCATCCAAACTCTGCGAGCGCTTCCTGGGAGCCGCCCCGGGGCCGCGGAACCTCCGCGCTGCTCGCCCGCGGGGCAAATTCCCGTCGAATTTGGTGATCAGGGAATCCACGGAGCGCAGCGGCTCCGTGTCCACGTCCCCGGCAATTCTGGGAATTTCCCCCTCCTTTTTTCCCAATTTTTCGCCGCTTTTGGGAAAAGGCGCGCTGAGGTCCCCGTGCGATTGGGATCGGCGCAGCTCCTCCGAGGATTTGGGGGTTTTCAGGTGCTGATCCGAGTGTTTTGGGGCGTCCCGGCATCTTCCCGGCTCCTCGTCCGAGGATTTCGGCATCCCCCGGGACCGCCCCGAACTTTCCTCATCCCAGGATTTTGGGGCCCCGCGGGATCCCCCCGGAATTTCCCGATCCGAGGATTTGGGGCCCCTCCTTAGCTCCTCATCCCAGGATCTGGGGATGCCCCGGGACCCCCCTGAGCCTTCCTCACCTAAAAACCCGGGGATCCCCCGGGACGGCCCTGACCCTTCCTGCTCCGAAACCCTGTGCACCCCCTGCTCCTTCTCCCAAACTTTCGGGACCCCCCGGGACCCCCCTGGCCCTCCCTGCTCCGCCAACCCGCGCGTCCCCCCATCCCAAACATCCCCCTCCTCCTCCTCCTCCTCCTCCTCCTCGGGGGCCCGGGCGCGGGGGGCGTCGGGGGGCGTCGCGGGCTGTCCCCCCTTGATCTGCACGCCGAAGCTGTCGCCGCCGCGCTGGCCGCTGTTGAGCACCACGAAGGGCTGCCCGGCGATGCCCTGCACCCGCACGGCCACGCCGTACGAGCCGCCGCGGCCGCGGGCCGGGCGCGGGGGGCGCCGCGGCTCGCGGAGGTCGCTGATGAAGCGGATCTGGACGCCGTGGTCCAGCGGCTGCTCCGCCATGGCCGGACTCGGGCTGCTCGGCGGGGAAATAAATGGGTTTCCCTCGGTTTCCCCCGGTTTTTCCACGTTTTCCCCCCGGTTTCCCCTTTTCCCCCCCGGTTTCCCCGTTTTTTCTCGGGTTTTCCCCATTTCCCCCTTTTCCCCCCGTTTTCCCCGCTTCTTTCCCCAATTCCCCCCACTTTTCCCCTTTATCTCCCCATTTTCCCCCCCTTTTTTCCCCATTCCCCCCCCCGGTTTCCCCGTTTTTCCTCGGTTTTTCCCCATTTTCCCCCCGCTTTTCCCCTTTATCTCCCCGTTTTCTCCGGGTTTTTCCCCATTTCCCCCCTCCCCGGTTTCCCTCGGTTTTCCGCTGGTTTTTCCACGGCTTCCCCCCGGTTTCCCCTTTTCCCCCCGTTTTTTACGGTTCTTTCCCCGGTTTTCCTCCTTTTTCCCCCCGTTATTTCCCTATTTCCCCCCAGTTTCTCCCCCATTTATACCGGCTTTTCCCCAGTTTTCCCACTTTTCCCCCCCGGTTGCCCGTTTTCCGCATTTTATTCCAGGTTTCCCCCCTTTTCCCCATCTTCCCCCAATTTTTTCCCAGTTTTCCATTGTCGTGTGTGACCCCGTCCGCCCGTCCCGTCCCCCCCACCCCCTTCCCGGTTTTTTCCCATTTTTCTACCACTTTCCCCCTTTTCTCCCCGTTTTTTCCTTGTTTTTCCCGGTGTTCCCCATTTTCCCCCTTTTTTCACTTGTTTTCCCCTTTAGCCCCCACTTTTTTCCCCCCGTTTTCCCTGATTTTCCCTGATTTCCCCCATTTTTTGCCCGGTTTTTCGGACGAGCGGTGACATTTTGGGAGCAGCGCGAGGACGGAACCTCCCCCCGCCCTCGATCCCAGAAATCCTCTGGAAGCCCCGGGGAAAAAAAAAAAAAATGGGAATTTCGGATTGGAAAAGCCGCGATTCCGCCCCACATCCCGGGGTTTTTTTCGCGGGAATAAATCGGGAATGACGCGAGGAGCAGGAGCTGCGGAATGAGCGGGGGAAGGGGGATTTGGGGATGTTTGTGGGGATTCCGGGATGTTTGTGGGGATTTCGGGATGTTTGTGGGGATTTTGGGATGCCATGATGGGTCTGAAGTGCCGGGAAAATTCCCAAAAAAAACCCAAAGGGAAGGAGCAGAGCGCGGGATGGGGGTGGGGAAAAGGATCCCGGGGCAGGGATGGGATCCCCAAATCCTGCTGCCCCTCCGGAATCCCCACGAACCCCTGGAATGGCAGGGGAGCGACCCTGGGAGCGCAATTCCCAAATCCCCAAATCCCTGGATCCCCAAACCCTCCCAGTTCCTAAACCCCCGAATTCCCAAATCCCCAATTTCTGCCGTCCCTTTGGAATCACCCCAAATCCCAGGAATCTCAAAATCCCTGGAACTGCAGGGGAGGGATCCCGGGAGTGGAATTCCCAAATCCCCAAACCCCGGGATCCAGGAAATCCAGGAACCCACCTGAGCGGGGAGCGGCGCGGGTGGAAAATCAGGAATTTTTCCCGGTGGCCAAAGGGCAGCGGGGCCGGGGCGGGGCTGGGAACGATCCCGATGGGAATTCCGGGAGCCGGGGAAGACCTTTGGAAGGGCCAGGAGGGGTCGGGATCACCAGGAAGGGCTGGGATCCATCCCAGATCCCAGGATCCATCCCAAATCTCAGGATCCATCCCAAATCTCGGGATCCATCCCAAATTCTTGGATCCATCCCAGATCCTGGGATCCATCCCCAGTCCTTGGATCCATCCCAAATTCTTGGATCCATCCCAAATCCTGGAATCCATCCCAAATCCCAGGCTCCATCCCAGAGCAGGTGGAGAATCCATGGGGGGGGAGGGGGCTGGGAATGTTCCCAGATGGCTCCAGAAAAACCGGGAACAGGGGAGGGCTGGAAAACCGGGAGAGGATCGGATATTCCCCAAAAAAATGGGAGAGGATTTGGATTTCCCAGAAATCCGGGAGAGGATCGGAAATTCCCGAAATGAGGAAATCCGGTACAGGAATTGCTCCTTTGCTCTCCCAGGATTTCACTGGAAAACTGAAAGGAAAAAAAAAACAAGAAAAGGGAATTTTGGAGCTGAAAAAATGGGAAAAGAACAGGAAAATGTGAATTTTGGGGCTGAGAAAAAACAGAATTTCGGGGATTTCCCTGGAAAACCAGAAGAAAAAAAGCAGGGAAAGGGAATTTAGGGCCTAAAAAAAACCCAAAACAGGAATTTTCCCTGGGAATGGGGTTGGGAAAAATCAAAGGCCATCCCGGCCACTCTGGAAGGGCAGAATTTTGGGAATTTTCCGTCTGGCTGGGATCCAGGGAAGCACAAAGAGCCTTTGTGGCTCCGACCCAGAAAAAGCCGTTTCGTAATTCCTGGAGAGGCCGGAAAATTGGGGGGAAAAAAAACAACTGGAGTTGCTTTTCCAGGAATTTTCCCCCTTTTTTTTCCCTCTTCCTGAAGGAGGAAAAGGGAATTTGGGATTTTGAGAATGGAGAAAGGGAAGGGAAAACCCAGCTGGTCAAAGGTGGGAAAGGAAGGAAAAAATCCCAAATTTTCCCAAAATATTCCCAAAATTGCTGGGTTGGGATCTTCCCAATATTTAGGATGGTCCCAGTGAGGTTTTCCCAAAATTCTGCTCCATTCCTGAGTCCCTGGGGCCCAAATCGAGCTCCAAATGATCCCAAAGTATTCCCAAATTATCTCAAATTATCCCAAATGAATTATCTCAAATGATCCTAAATTATCACAAATTATCTCAAATTATCCCTAATTAATTATAGCGAATTAATTACCCCAAACCATCCCGGGGTTTTTTTGCCTCCAGGGGATTTTTTTTTTTTGGGATCTTTCCCAAAATTCCACCCTCGGCTCCTCCCCCGGGCGTTGTTTGGGGCCAAAGTCCTGGAATTTGGAGCCGCGCCCAAAAACCGGGAGCGGCTTTTCCGGATTTTCCAGTTTTTCCCGCTTTTCCTGGGAACCCGAAACCGGAGAGGGGCGGAGATCGAGGGGGCAGAGGGAATCGCACCTGGAAAAATGGGAGTTTTCACCCGGAAAAAGGGTCGGGAATGGGATCTTTCACCTGGGACAAGGGCGGGGAGAGGGATTTCCATTTGGGATCGGGAATATTCGGGATCGGGATCATCCCCCACGAGCGGCTCCGGGGCTCCCCGCGGGGCGGAATTCCACGAATTCCAGCCCAGACCTGGGCAGAGCTCCCGGGTTAACCCTCAGCCCCAAATCCTGGGAAATCCACCCCAAATCCTGGGAAATCTGCCCCAAATCCTGGGAAATCCGCCCCAAATCCTGGGAAATCGACCCCAAATCCTGGGAAATCCACCACAAATCCTGGGACATCCACCACAAATCCTGGGAAATCGACCCCAAATCCTGGGAAATCGGCCCCAAATCCTGGGAAATCCCGTTCCCGCCGCTCCCAGGGCAATCCCGATCCCCGCCGGGATCCGGTGACGGTTTCCAGGGAAATCGATCCCGTGGAACCGGAGCCCGCGGGATAAAATTGCCGTACACGGAAAAGCCTCGGGATAACCGGGAATGATCCCATTCCCTGGGATAACCGGGAACGATCCCGTTCTCTTGAGATAACCGGGAATGATCCCGTTCCTTTGGGATAACCGGGAATGATCCCATTCCTCGGGATAACTGGGAATGATCGCATTCCCTGGGATAACCGGGAATGATCCCATTCCCTGGACACCAAAATCCCTGCGGGGTTTGGGGTCACTCTGGGTTTGCCCTGAGTTCCATCCCGAAATTCCTGCCCTGAGGGATTCACTCCCACACATTCCCGCTGGGAATTCCCTCTCCGGCCCCAGGAAGCCGCAGGGAAAAGGCGAAACCCCAAATCCTGCCCAGGGAAAGGGAATTCCGAGGATCCCAAACCGGTCCGACCGGTCCGGGAACGCCCGGAGCGATCCCAAAAAAACGGAACAAAGAGGGACAAAACCCGCTGGACTTGGGATTCCCTGAACCTGGGGCCCCCTGGATTTGGGATCCCCGGGATTGGGATCCCCGGGATTGGGATCCCTTGTGTTTGGGATCCCCTGGGTGTGGGGTCCTCTCACTTTGGGAAGAGGCTCCAAAAATGCCCCTGGATTTTTCCCAAATCATCGGAGGGATAAAAGGCAAAGGTCGGGAGGGGTTTTCTGGGGGGATCCCACCGGACAGGACCCCAAAAAGGGACACCGGGACCCCAAAAGGGACAGCAGGACCCCGTCCCGTGTCCCCAGGCCCCTCTGCGTGTCCCCGTGTCCCCTCCCGCTGTCACCAGTGCCCTCTCCCGTGCCACCACGAGCGTCTCCGGTGTCACCGGCACCTCCTCCGGTGTCACCAGCGCCCTGCCGGTGTCACCAGGGCCCTCTCCGGTGTCACCGGCGCCCTGCCCGGTGTCACCAGCGCCCTGCCGGTGTCACCAGGGCCCTCTCCGGTGTCCCCAGCCCGTGCCCGGTGTCACCGGCGCCCTGCCCGGTGCCTCCGGGCCTCTGCCCGGTGGGACAAGACCCTGCCCGGTGTCACCAGCGCCCTCTCCGGTGTCACCAGCGCCCTGTCCCGTGCCACCAGCCCCCCCCTCGTGCCACCAGCGGCCTGCCCGGTGTCCCCAGCCCCTATCCGGTGTCACCAAGCCCCCCGCCCAGGGGGAAAGACCCTCTACCGTGCCACCGGCCCCTGTCCGGTGTCCCCAGCCCGGTTTCCCGGTGTCCCCAGCCCCTATTCGGTGTCACCAAGCCCCCCGCCCAGGGGGAAAGACCCTCTACCGTGCCACCGGCCCCTGTCCGGTGTCCCCAGGTCCCTGTGCGGTGTCCCCACATCCCTGTCCGGTGTCCCCAGCCCCTGTTCCCGGTGTCCCCAGCCCGTGCCCGGTGTCCCCAGCCCGGTTTCCCGGTATCCCCGGCCCCTGTCCTGTGTCCCTAGCCCCGTTCCCGGTGTCCCCAGCCCCGGTTCGGTGTCCCCACATCCCTGTCCGGTGTCCCCAGCCCCCGTTCCCGGTGTCCCCAGTCCCTGTCCGCCGGTGTCCCCCCCCACATCCCTGTCCGGTGTCCCCAGCCGGTGTCCCCACATCCCTGTCCGGTGTCCCCAGCCCCTGTCCGGTGTCCCCAGCCCGGTTTCCCGGTGTCCCCCCCCGCCACTCACCGCCCGCTCCCGCCGCAGCCACCGCAACCTGTTACCTTCGCCCAGGCCCCGCCCCTCGATACTGATTGGTCGGCACCACCCCAAACCCCGCCCACCAGGCGCGGCTCCGCGCCCCAGACCCCGCCCAGCACCGCACCGGTGCTGCGTCGCGTGCGGGCGCCGCCATCTTGAGGAGGGCACCGCGCCCTGGCCGGTATTTTTCGCCGCGCTCAAGATGGCGGCGAGGCCACGCCCACTCGCTACGGCGGCGGGAAGCGGCCGCGTTGCCTCGGCGCAGGCGCAATCGCGTCGTGACTAAGATGGAGGTCGGGGCAGCGCCGCCACCGTTCTGGGCCGGGGGCCCGGCCCCGGGACAAACGTACATCCCCCGGGCTCTGGGACACACCGGCATCCCTCCCCGGGGCACCGGCACCGGGCCCGCCGCGCTGCCCGCCGGCCGCACGCTGTGAGGGCAGAGGGGGCGCGGGAAGGGATGGGGGGAATGGGGGGGTCCTGAGGGGATGGGGAGGGTCCCTGAGGGGATGCGGGAGCAACTGGGGGGGACTGGGGAGATTGGGGGGATCCCTGAGGGAGCAGGGAAATGGGAAGACCGAGGGGATTTGGGGAGGGGGAGGGGAAATGGGGGGATTTGGGGAGGGTCCCTGAGGGCTGGGAGGGCAAACTGGGAGCGGAACTGGGGGGAACTGGGGAGGGGGAAAGGGAAGGAGCAGGAAATGCGGGAATGCCGGGGAGACTCCTGGGGCGCAGGATGGACAAACTGGGAGGAAGCGGGATCTGAACTGGTGTGAGTGGGACCCACACTGGTGTAACTGGGACCCACACTGGTGTGACTGGGACCACACCGGTGTGACTGGGACCCAGCCCAGTGTAACTGGGACGCACACCGGTGTGACTGGGATCTCGGTGTGCCAGGAGCCCAATGGTGACCGGCACGTCGGTGCTGGGACTGAAGTTCTCCGGGGGGGTGATGCTGGCTGCGGACACCGTGGGGTCCTTTGGGTCCCTGGCGCGGTTCCGGGGCATCTCCCGGCTCCTCAAGGTCAACGACTCCACCGTGCTCGGAGCCTCCGGGGACCTGGCGGATTTCCAGCACCTGCGGCAGCTCCTGGAGCAGATGGTGTAAGATTCCCGGGAATTCCCAGCCCAAATTCCCTCAGGAATTCCGGGATTCCCCATCCCAAAATCCCCAGCTGATTCCTGGGGATTTGGGAATTTCCCATCTCCAAATCCCCGATTGATTCCCGCCAAGTCCCCAAAATTCCGAATTGGTTCCTGGGATTTGAGAATTTCCCATCCCCATTGTTTTCTGTGCGCCAATCCCCGAATTCCTTGAGCACCAGTCCCTGAGTTCCTTGAGCACAAATCCCTGAATTCCTTGGAATTCCTTGGGCACAAATCCCTGAATTTCCTGGCATTCTGTCCCCAAATTCTGCAGCGTTTTTTGCTCTTCTCCAATCCCCGAATCCCTGCTCTGCAATCCCTGCTCTCCATTCCTGAATCCCTGCTCTCCAATCCCCAAATCCCCGACCTCCAAGGCAGAATTCCCTGGAATTTCAGGATCGACGAGGAGCTGCTGGGGGACGGGCACAGCTACAGCCCGCGGGCGCTGCACTCGTGGCTGACACGGGTCCTGTACAACCGGCGCTCCAAGATCAACCCCCTCTGGAACACCGTGCTCATCGCCGGCGTCTACGGCGGGGAGAGGTGACCGTCCCAGCACTGCCATTCCAGGGGTTTCTGCTCCTTCCCAGGGAAATTCCTGCTTCTTTTTCCTGCTGCAGCTCCTGCTGCTTCGCGGGGAAATGGGGCTTTTCCCTGGGGTGGTTTCTCCTCCTTCTTCCCGGGGAATTCCTGCTTTTCCCTGGGGTGGTTCCTGCTCTTTCCCAGGGGAATTCCCGGCTCCCTGGGTGATTCCCATTCTCCTGTTCTGCAGTTTCCTGGGATATGTGGACATGCTGGGCGTGGCCTACGAGGCGCCGTCGCTGGCCACGGGATTCGGGGCTTACCTGGCCCAGGTGAGCCCAGGCTCGGGTCTTTACTTCATCATTAAGTTTTTCATTGATTCTTTCCTGTTTTAGTTCGTTATTTTCCGGCTCGTCATTTTTTGATTGATGTTTTGGTATTTTGACTTGGTTTTGATTGATTGGTTCCTTCATTCCCAATCTGTGTGCAGCCGCTGCTGCGGGCGGAGCTGGAGCGGGATCAGGATCGGCTCCCGACGCGGGAGGAGGCGCGGCAGCTGCTGGAGCGCTGCCTGAAGGTGCTCTACTACAGGGATGCTCGCTCCTTTAACAGGGTTTGTATCCCAAATCCATCCCCAAATCCATGGGATCCATCCCCAAATCCATGGGAATTCACCCCAAATCCATGGGATCCATCCCAAACCCATCCCAATCCCGGGAGCTGCTGGAGCAATGCCTGAGGGTGCTCTACTACAGGGATGCTCGCTCCTTTAATAGGGTTTGTATCCAAAATCCACCCCAAAATCCCAGGAATTCATTCCAAAATCCATCCCCAAATCCATGGGAGCCGCCCCAAACCCATCCCAGGGTTTTTCCCGTGGAATTCCGGGTGGGATTGAGGAATTCTGGGCTTTTCCTGCAGTATGAGGTCGCCACGGTGACGGAGAAGGGCGTGGAGCTGGAGGGCCCCCTGACCCTGGAGGCCAACTGGGACATCGCCCACCTGGTCAGGTAATTCCCGCCTGGAATGCCGGCATGTGGGAATTCTGGGGGGTCTGGGGACATCCAGGTAATTCCCACCTGGATAACAGCGGGGTTGGGAATTCCAGAGGGGCATCCAGGTGTTCTGAGTGAGATGCAGGTGTTCTTCCTGCCCCTCTAACTCCCGTTTTTCACTTTTTTTCCCATTTTTCCAGAGGTTTCGAGTGATCTCCAGGAGCTGCTCCGGCCACGGTGAATCCCCATTTTTATTCCATCCCTTCTTTCCCTCTGGAATGGCAAATCCAGCGTTTTTTGGGAATAAAATCAATCAGTTAAGACCAATCCGTGTGTTTGTTCTTTGGGAATCCTCAAAAAAACCACAGGAATTCTCCCGGAAAATGCAGATTTCAGGCAGTTCTGGAATTCAGGGTGGATGCCGTGGCCCCAAATCCCAATTTTTACCAAAACTGTAGAATTTCTTAAAGCCCTTTTGGGATGGAGCCTGGGCATCCCTAAACCCTGTCCACGATTTTGGGGCATTCCATGGGATTTTTCCCCAAAACCCCAAACCCGGAGGGATTTTGAGGCCATTCCCAAGCCTGGGAATTCCCGGCTGGGTTGGGATCTGTTGATTGAACCCAAAATGGCCCAAATGTGCCCCAAATCCTTTTTCTGGGAATTCTGAGAGGGTCCCAATCTCCCTTTGGAAACAGAAAAAAAAATTGGGGAAAAAAGTGGGTTAAAATCCCAATTTTTGCGGAATTTTTGCTGCTTCAAATGGACCCGCGGGGGTTTTTCTGGGAATTCTGGGGTTATGGAAGATTTCAGTCAATTAAGGAAATTTCAATAAAATATTGGACTGTTTCTGTAAAATCCTGGAATATTTTACTAAAATCTTGGAATATTTCAATAACCAAGGCTACAAATATCCAATTAAAATGGATTTTTTCTACTCCCTATTCCCAAAATTCCTCCAGCAGCATTTTCCTAACTTTTCCTTAAAAAAACCCAGGAATTCTCCATGGAAGAAAACAATTCTGACCCTGAAGAATTAATTAAATCCAGGACTTTTCCACCCAAATCCCTCGGGAATGAAGGAATTTTTTCCACAATAAAAACACCGTTTATTTATAAATCCATTTCCCTGCTTTTATTCCATGTTTTCCACTCCTGTACAATTCCAAGCTGATCCATATTTTTTATTTTTAATTTTTTTTTCCTTTGGGGAAAAAAACCCAAAAAAAAAGAAACAAACCTCCACAAATCTTATGGAAAAACGGGTGCTGGGTGCCTCTGGAATTTGGGAATTCCAAGAACTTTTAAAATAAAAAAAAAAAAAACAAAAAAACAAACCAAAACGTTTTCCCAAAAAACATGCAGATTCCGGTAGAAAATCGGAGCTGGCAGTGAAAAATCAACCCAAAATCTTTCTTTTAAATGGATTTTTTCGGGTTTCTCGTCACAGTCTTAGTCCCAAATCCTGGATTTTCTGATCCTAAGGAAGGCAGCGTTTTCCAGGATGGTTTTTTTTTTAAATAAAGTTGATAATTAACAATCCAAAAGAGGGAAATCCAAGGAAAAGTTGGGTTTTTCTGCCCCTCCAATGGGAATTTTTGGGGCAGAAATTGGGAAAATCAAGGTCGGGACAGGAAAAGCAGCACCAATCCCAAAAACTGCTGGCGTGGAATGGTGGCTCCACAATTCCCAAGCCAAGTTCCCTCAAAACTCCCTAAAATTCCACCAAAATTCCATTACAATTCCAGATTTCCATTAAAAAAGCCCCAAAATAGCTGAATCTTGGCAGCCAATCCGAAGGAATTTTCCGTAAAAACGGGGAATTTTTGTCTTCTTGGAAAAAATCTGGGCACAAACAACGTCAAATTCCCACTGCTAAAAACCAGGAATTATGGTACAAGTGAGGTAAAGAAAATTCCCAAAAAATATCCACCCACGAGAGAGAATTCCAAGGAAATACCAACACAGTGAATCCAAGTCTGGGGTTTTTTTTTCAGTTTTTTTTTTTTCAAATTTAAAAAATAAAGAAAAAAAACCCATGAAAATCCTCCCAAAAAATTGGCAGAAACGGCAAATCTGCAAAAATCCCAGAAATCCGTTGGGAACTGGGATCTCATCTGTTTGTTCCGAAAACTGGGCACGTCCTTTGTTTTGGGGCCAAAAATTTGGGAATATTCTTTGATTCTGGGGCCAAAACTTGGGAAAATCCTTGGGGTTTTGGGGCTAAAAAATGGGAATATCCTTTAATTTCTGGGGCGCTTTTGGCTCTCCAGAAACAGGGAACATCCTTTCATTTTTGGGGCCAAAACCAAGCAATTTCCTTTAATTTCGGCGGCCAAAAATAGGGGATATCCTTCAAGTTTGGGGGCAGAAAATTGGGAATAGCCTTCAATTTCTGGGATGTGTTTGGATCTCCAAAAAACAGGGAATATCCTTTAAGTTCTGGGGGCCA